CCGGAGCCCCGCAGCTTCCCCCGGTGGCGGCGGCCTGGAGGAGCCGCGCAGCCGCCGCCCCGCGAGCCGCGCAACCGCCGCCGCCCCGCGGGGAAGATGAGGGCGGAGGGCGCCGACCACTCGATGATCAACCTGTCGGTGCAGCAGGTCCTGAGCCTCTGGGCCCATGGCACGGTGCTGAGGAACCTTACGGGTAATGGACGCTCGGGGACGCGGAGGGCAGCGCGGGGCCCTCGGGTGACGGGGCGCTCGTGGATCGGTTGTGCACAGGGGTCGGAGGTCGGGGTCGCAGCTCCCCGGTGCCCTGCGCGGGCAGAAGCGCGGAGTCGCGTGTGGGCCAGACTTGAGCACAGTTCGCGTCGGTCGTCCCCCCCCCCACGCACACAGCGCTTCTTGCAGTTTAGATGTTTGTTTTTCTCGCTTTCCTGCTTTAGCTCCTTTTCTTGCTGACAGATCTATTTGCGTGGCCAGAGAGATGACTAAGTAGATTATAGTGGGTCAGGGGGTGGGCCGCGGGCTAGGGTATGGGAAACAGTTTAGCCTTCTCTGCCCCCCCCCCTTTTTTTCTTCTGTGACATTTCCCAATTCTGTGTATTTCTCTTCTTTAATCAAGGTGATCTGGAATTGGGTTTAGTCGCATCGATTTGGTGTTAGTGTGAGCGTTACTACACATTTTAATCTCCTCTGTGGGTCTGCTTTGTGAGAGAACTTTTGCTTTTGTTAATATGGAAATGGTTTATATTCTGAGTCCTGAATTTTAGGCATAGCTTCTAGAAAGTAGTATTTACAGGAAAGAGATTGAGTTGCAATTTGATGAGTCCTGGGTGCCTGCTTTTCTGAGAAAAATATACCCAGACTGATCCTTATAAATGTTTTAAGAGTTAATTTCAGTTGAACATTAGTATTTCAAAGTCTGTGCCATCAAATTGGTTAGTATATATTATACACATGCATATGTTTATATGTTAAATGGCATGATACAGAAAAATGTTCACACAGAAAAATGTTAGGGAATTTTATGCCACCAGGACAATTTTAAGGGTGCTAAATTCTTTAAATATGGAAACTGCACAATTAAGGGAGGCGCTGGGTTACTTCCAGGTGTCTTCACTTTTCAGATGTACTTGGAACAAACAGACTTTTCTTGATTGCAGTTTAGAAACATGTTTTTATCATTTTGAGAAAAATAAATGAACAAAGATCACTTAGGTTTTAGAGATAGACTGCCTAGCCTATTTATGGCTTTACTTGTATTTATCCAGTTAATTATTTCCCAAATGTGGATTATGTTTATTAAAGTATATGATAAGCAGAGATTTAGTGAAAATATATTCCTGTATGTTAGTGACTAACTTAGCTCATCAGTGTTTTACAGAAAGTTAGTTTGGGGAGTTTTAGATTAAATGTAAGTGAGGCTTACCTCTTGGCCAGATATAACAGTATTTAAAAATATTTAAGACTTTCATCATTGTGATGGCTTCCAGCTCCACAAGTCAGCTACTTGGTTGGTAATAGTAGTTATCAGTCCCCATATGGTCTTAATAATCACCCCGTTGCTCATTGGACTGTGCTATTTCTTTTTTTTATATTTATTATTTTTATTTTATGTGTATGAGTGTATTGCCTGCATGTATGTGAGTGCACCCGTGCCATGCAGTTCTGTGGAGGTCAGAAGAGGGCTTCGGATTCCCCTGGACCTGGAGTTAAGGACGGTTTGTAGCCGCCATGTGGGTGCTGGGAATCAAACCAAGTCCTCTGGAAGACCAGTCAGTGCTCTTAACTGCTGAGCCATCTCTCCAGCCCCAGAACTGTGCTATTTCTAAAGAGGATATGAAACTAGGACTGAAGTGTGAGGAGGACTGTGGGAGCCTCTACTAGCAAGTAAGTAGTACCTAGTAGGTGTGCAGAATTCTACATGTCAGGGTAAAAATACAGATGTAGAACTATGCTTTATAGGCAGGTGAGAGCACCACAGGACAGAACCACATGTCACAGAGAGCGGCCGCCTGTGGTTCCAGTGCCCGGACTGTATGGGGACTGGAACCCATCCCACAGGGGACTGTGGCCATCCCACAGATTGCTTGATCATTAGTCAAGAGACGTTGTTTGGGGTGCCACTTAGAGCATAATCTCCTCAAAACAAGCAGACAAAACACAGTGCATAAAATGAGACAAGCCTACCCTTTACTGAATGCCTACTTTGTATTATCTTATTAATAACTCTGCAAGATATACTTACAAGAAAACTCAGGCAAGTCATTAGTGAGCGAATGGGGAACTGTGCTTCAGAGCCAAGTCCCCGTAGAATGCCTTCTCTTCCCCTCTCCAGTGGGACTTTTCCTCTTCACACCCTCAGGCCAGTTCTGCTCCTTGTACCCTCATGTATTTTTAATTGCATTATAGTTTTGTCTCTTCCAGAATGAGCATTTTGAGAGTGAGGCCATTGTTTTGCTCATTTCTAAATTCTCAATCCTTGCATTCTAGAACCTGGCACATAGTAAGTGTAGATACGTGTTTTGAATTAAATTTTTTTCTTTACTTGACAGACTCAGACATTGGAAAGAGAGTATCTTGCTTCTGTTCCATGCTAACAAGTGGACGCCATTCCTTCTTTTTTCAGATTGTAACATGTACTGTTAATTCAGAAGGCATATTTGGCTTTGTAGTAAATTTGGAAATGAAACGTAATAAAAAGGAGCTTAGTATAAAACCAGGCTATCTTAAATTTATGACTGTAAAGGAATTACAGAAATCTGGTCATTGGAAATTTTGGTTAATTAAATACTAAGTAAAGGGGAAGTGTGCTCTCCTTTCTGTTTTTTTGTTTTTCCCTTGTACAAACTAGCAAGTGTGTTATTCTTTCTCGTTTTTAAATTAATGAGAACTAGCAGCATCTTAACATCTGAGAGCTAGAATTGCTTAGTTTTAGAAACACAGAAATCCAACTCCATCAGTGGAGTGTCCTGCCATGGTAGCTATTTTAACGGTAGAGACAGAATGGGGACCAGTGTCTCCTGATTCTTAGGTCTGTGCCTGTCTGGTGTTAAGGCACAAGCAGGTTGGAGAGATGGTAAATCTTGTGATACTTCATATTAGCCTGACACCTATTTGTCCCAGTGAGTCTGAGAATATGTGAGTATGTCTCCCAGTAGCCCAGCCCCATCCTTGAAATACATCCCAAGAATCCCTAGGGGCTGTCTGAAACCACAGATAGTATCCAGTCCTGAAAATATTACTGTGAAAAAGTTTAGTTTCTGTGGATGCAAAAGGAGCTTAACAACAGCATAGTAAAACAGGGTCATTTTAACAGCATGTGTTAGAAAATTGCCAGCATCACTGTTGGGCTTGGAGCCATTATTACATAAAACAAAGGCTATTTGAACACAAGTATCGAAACACCTGGGCAGCTGATCTGATCACTAATAGTCTGATAACTGAGATGGCTCCTAGGCCAGGAGTAGTGTATTTAGGGTGGATACCCTTGACAAAGAGATGATTCTTGTCTTGAATAAGAAAGAACAGGACAGTGTAAGATGCACAGAAGGACCAGCAATACGAAACTTAGGGATTGTTTACCTCTAGAAATTTCCAGTTAATATTTTTTGGATGGCGGTTGACTCAGGTAACTGAAGCCACAGAAACTGAAACCTAGAATAAGGGTTGACTGGAATAATCTGTCCAGTAAATAAAAGATGCTGGAAAATGTAAGATGTTATTGCAAAATAATGCTTCTAAGTTGCCACTGCTTTTGGGAAAGTTACTGATCCATATATATTCTGTACACAGTTTTAGAAATCTTACCAGGTTTGACCTGCTATTTAATTTTCTCTCATTTTGAAGACAGTAGGATGAAGATTCTAAAGAGAACCAGATATCCCCCAGAGATCCCACGTCTTTCACTAAATGATTATCGTCCGAGTTGGCTGCATGTCTGGCCCTTTCCCCAGGGTGTGATTCTTAGGCATCTCCTTTGTTTAATCATGAGGACATTACAGGCTTTCTCAGTCTATTAGAGAGATGAGCAGCTTCCTCCCTTTCTTTCCCAAGTACTTTTTCTTTGTCTGAGTCTAAATTCCTACCCCTCTATCTAAAATTAGAGTCCATATTGTGTCTACCTTTTCAGCTTTGTGTGGAAATTGATGTATTAAATAAAATTACCAATAATTAAATGTATTTTTTTTTTTTGCTTTCATTTATTTTTCTTAACTGATTTGATTTGGCTCCCAGTTTGTGTTGTGACCCAAATTTGGTTACCAAGGACTTAGAGAATTTTTTTTTTTTTTTTCCAGAAAAGGCAGGGTCCTTAAAATACTAGCCAAACATAGCTGGGTTGGTGTTGGGAAAGGAATATGGGCCCTGGAAGAAAGGCTGTTTTAGACTTGCCAACTCTGTCTTTGACAGCTGCAGATGTGGGGGGAAAGTGTGTTCCTCTCTTTGTTTGTGATGAGCAAAGGCTGGAGGGGTCTAACCTGTAATGAAGGATAAAAGTTTTATATACAACTTTTGTTTATACATAAATTTATATTTATTTTTGTGTGTGCATATATATGTATATGTAGCTAGCTATTCCTCAACTTACGATGTGGTTGTATCCTGATAAGCCTATTGTAATACATTTTTTAAAAAAGCTATTGTAAGTTGAAAATAATGTGTCTTGGCAAACACAAGAGCTTAGCCTAACCTATCTTAAATGTGCTCAAAACATATACATTAGCCCCTAGTTTTACAAAGGTCTTCTAACACAGCATATGTTTTATAATAAAGTGCTGAATACTGTGTGATTTGTTATATACACAGTGGAGAATGATTATTTGTGCATGTGTTTACATCACTATAAAGCTGAAAAATATCAAATTGAACAATTAGTAATTTGGGGGTCAGTCTCGCTTATGCTTATTTTTAGGGTATTCAACACATCATTATAGTTTGCTTTTAGAGTTTGCAGTTGCTAAGCTGTTTTGCTGTTACTTTGCTGTCAGCCAAAAAGGGAGAACTAGTTCAGACTTGGTGCTGTGACCATTACCTGCCTTCATTGTGTCCAGGTGGATGCTCTCTCAGTAACCCTCCGTGTTTGCCATTAAGTTGCACCCCTTCCTAAGGTGAGCTCATGTAGACAGAGTGGCTTCAGGTATCCTCTTAGAGTTATTTGCTGTGTGAGTGCAGCCCTAGTCTTATACTCTGCTTTTCAGTGTT